ACCAGTGACTTAACTGATATATAAAAAAGTCATCACATTGTTATCATTAAAAATATAAACAGTGAGTACAGTGAGGTCATTGTACTAAGACAAATTCACTGACTTACTGTTGGACCACTCAAAGCAAAGTTAAGAAAAAGCATAAAACTAACTTTGCAAGGTGGTATATTTTAGACAAAAGCTTACAGAATAATAGTTTTGAACAGGCAGAAGTTACTTCTGCCCATCTCATAGGAATTGAAAATGTGGAAATCTGCAGAGTTGGAGAATTTCAGGAAAGACTGACAGGTCACATATCCAGATAAGGGGGCAAAAACAGCTTTGAGACACATTACCTCATTATTTCTTGCAGTCTAAAGAGTTCTCAATAAAAGGTGTTTAAAATAATACCAGACTAAGGTATCAATATAATAAACATTTCTATCATTATATTCTTCTTGGGGGCAAGTAGTTCTAAAAACAAATCATACTCTGAGAAATTTTTCCATCTGAATCTCTCATAGCCATCAGAAATGTGCTCCTTGACTTACTTTTAAAGTTATATTATTTTGTTTCTTCTGACCTACTTTAGGATCTTCAGCTTAAAAATCCAGCAGCAAGCCATACTTTGGATAAATCCAATAGAGAAATAGAGAAAATTTTCTGTCTCCCTCTCTCCTTCTTCCCCTCCCCTTTCTTCTCTTTTTTCTTCTTCTCCTTTCTTTCCCTCTCTGCCTCTCCCCTAATTGCTAGTCTGTGGGTGTCTCAGAATAGTTGTAAGGTTGAAATAACCTATATCTATAACCAATATAAATACCTTTTCATAAAAAGGCTAATAAGGAAGACAGTCAAATCTTTATAGGCTTCCCTCGCTCTAAAACATTTGTTGAAAGACAGAACAGCTCAGAACACAATGGAACTTAGGAAGGAGAGGAATAATAACGTCAGCTTACAATGGGTTTGGCACTAAGATAGATGCTTTCCTGGAATTCTTGTTTGATGTCTCCTACAATACCCCAAGACGGGTATTTTCAACTCCTCCCTCCACCATCTTACAGGTAAGGAAACACAGGGTTAGAGAAGTCAAAGACCTTTCCCCAAATCATATCCACTAAATGGCAAAGCCTGAACATGAGTATGGGTCTTCCTGGTTCTGTATCTGTGCCCTTCACCACTATGCTATATTGTAACAGAGGAATGGCAATGGAGTAGAAAAAATGGCCTTTCTTTTCCTAGTACAGGTATCAGTTTTAACTCAGTAAAGAACCATTTTAGGTTCTTTCAGAATTTTCCAATATATGTGTGCGCACACACACACGTGCACACACAGTACAGATCTTCCCAAACTGTAAATGTCTCCCTGGGCATCTGTGAGCTTCTCTTAAAGTTCACCCAACAAGCCCCAAGGGAAAGAGGGCTTGGTCTAAGAAGTTTTATATTTCCTCTCACTTTTTAAACATTGGAAAAACCATTTGGGCCAGAGAAATGAGTAGTAAAAGAAGTTCTAACTACCTAGAGCCAATAAAATGTAATGGAAAAAAAGGCAAGAATATGGCTGGACTTTATTTTCTTTTCACTCAGCAGATCCTGTCTTTAATCTGAAAGGTAAATAGGCCATGCCCAACAAACCAACTTTTCAGGTGAAATTATCTAGGTTATAAAAACAAGTAACAACTGTTCCTTAATTTATGGCTAGTAGAAATAGTAGCCAAAACAAACCTGAGACAAATATTGCCCACAAGAGAGTAATACCACAAATTTTCACTACTTTGATAACTGACTTTTGTGAACTTTTTCTTTCATTTGAATAAAAATCATGTGGTATTATCTGAAAGAGTGAGCTGCAAGAGGCAAAAGAAGAAATTTAAACTTTTCAGTTTAGATTATTTACATTAACATGAAAAGAGAGACATATTCTCTTTGTATATCATTAGTAGACTAGCATCCTAAAATATTTAGCCTCAGAATATAAGAAGTAATTATGTAACATGTCTCTCTGTAATCCCAAATATCAACTTCTTAATACATCTAAAGATCTCTGACTTCAATCATGCTAGTGAGAGTTATCCCCACTTTGTACGTTCAACTTTCTTCTGTATACAAAAGCTGAGCAGAGAGTTCTAACAAAAAACATTTTCACAAATAGAACATCCTTTACCAAGAAACTAGATAGATTGATGGGTTGTTTGAATCAATGTCCATCATATATCTTTCTCTGGACATCATTTAAATCAAGAATTACGTAGATGACATCAGTTAAAGCATAATTCTTCAGAGCACCAGTCATAGGCAAGTTGATAGATATTCTACTTTAAAAGGTTGCAAACATAAATGGAAATGCTTCATCAGATGTTAAACAGGATCCCACCCTCCCCCATTTTAACAGCAAGATTTCACAGAGCTTCTAAAACGCAAATGTGCATTATATCCCTCCAAGAGAATGGCGAAGTGCAATTTCCATGCTAATTCAACTATGAAACATTTTATTCAAGGACCATCTCTGCTTCACACAGCTGGTTGTCCATGGGACACACTTAGGAAAGGGGTATCTATTTGAAGGCCAGGTCTCCCTGCAGATAGGGAATGAACTGGTTAACATTCAATGGGTCACGTCAAATCTCATATCTCCCAAAGTATATTGCACCTCATATGTGGAACACTGTGAAGGGTCCTACCACTTTCATTTTACAAGCGAGAAATCACGAAATCACAGGCCCAAAGAAATTAATCATTTGACCAATCTTATAGCTGGGCTGGGGCAGAGCTAGAAGTGGAACACGGTGATCTTGGAAGCAAAAAGAACTTAAACTCCCAGCAAAATGGCTGGAAATACCTGTTAGGGAGGACAGGACAAAGATACAGTGTTTTAAAAAGCTTCATTAAACTCATAAAAATAGACCAGCATGGCATCGAGTCTAGCAGAAAGACCATTACATTTGGACATTCCTCTGTGGCAGGGGTGGGAGAAATCTTAGAAAAAACAATAAAACCATTTCAAAAATGTGTTCCACATAAGAAATGTTTTCCAGCCAATAATTGGGAGATATCATCAAATCCTACTTCAAAGTGGAAATTAGGAGCACTGCATATCCAAAGACGTTACATATTTCTTTTCAGCCTTGAAAACATAGAATATATGTGATATTTTTAATTTGAACACATTTTTACATTAGAAAAAGGAGGAGGAGAAAGAGAAGGAGGAGGAGAGAAGAAGAAGTGAAGAAGAAATAAATCTATAACAAAAAAACTGTTACAGTAGTATGTCAGAGGAGTCTGATTCTAATTGCAAATTTACAGACATTAATGTAATCATGTAAACTCAGCTTACTATTTTGGCAGATCATAGGTAATGGGGTCATAGGAGGTCAGGGAAGGTTAACGTTTATAGGCACAAAAAGTTCCAAAATTGGAGAAGTACCAAAAATATCAAGCCATTGGATTTTTTGCTTTTGAGTACTCCCTCACAATGAGGAAGTATGAATCTAAGTGACAAAATAATCCAATTGTACTAACTCCTACCCCAAATTGCTGAAGGAGAAATGAGAAGCAGTTGTACTGTTTTAATTAGGAGCTAAAATCTATTGAAACAATAATATGTCAACATGAGCTCCTTGTGAATATGAAATATAACCTTTGCTTGGATATTCTTCCCACACTGATGTACAAACTTGAATTCTGCACTATGAAATCTCATAGCAAAAACTGAATTCCATATCCTGCTTTAAAACACCAGTAACCAGAAAAGTTTCCATCCTAGTTCTCACCAAATGCTGCTTCTGACTCATTTGTTTCAAGCATTAGCAAAGGTTGGAAGCATGTACAAGGAAGACAGAGAAATCATTTCTGAAGGACAGTATTCAGAAACAAAGCAACACCAAAGGAAACTGAAGTTGCTCTGTGATGACAAGGCCATTTCCTCTTTCCTATAAAGCAACATACTCCGGCAAGATGAGGAAGGAGAAATGTCCACCTGCTGCTCAGAGAGGCCTTCTCCTGACCCACACACTGAAAATTCAGCATCCCCTCCAGACCAGCCTTCCCTCCTGAACCCCTTAACCGGGCTCTACTTTTTTCCTAAGCCCTGTTACTCAATACTATATAATTTACCTATTTTCTTTTTTTTTTTTGCTTATTGCAAAAGAAAAGCTTATAGTCTTTGATAGACTATAAGCTCCTAACAGCAACAATCTTTTCTGGGTTTTGTTTCCTTAATCATTCCTGGTGACTAATACAAAGTTGCCACTCACCAGGTATGTGCTGAATGAACAAACAACACCACTCTTTGCTGTCTTTGAATCCTACAGGAACTCACTCTGTCTCCTATCTTTATTAAAACAAAACAAAAACAGCCTTTGGGGAAGTTATAATAAAGGTCATGGGCACTAATATCAAGCACCACACTAAAAGAAGCAGGCACACCCCTGAAAATCTATGGGGTTTTCTTTATTATGTGGAAGAGGCAGCATTTAGCATATTTGTGGAAATAGAAGGAAAGGGGATATAACAAAGTAAAGTATTTGTAGATCATGCGCGGGGTAGAAGATGGGCAAGTAAATAAAAGAAAATTTATTAGATAAATTATTACCTGATTTCCCCATTATTCAAACTACCTATTGAGTTTGTTGGAGGTGACAATTAAAACATATTGAATGTTCTTTATTTTTCAATACCTGGGGATTGAACCTAGGGGCCTTTATATACCAGGCAAGCGCTCTAGTACTTGAGATATGCCCCCAATCTGAATGTTCTCTATTTTGCTCCTCAGCAAGAATCTTAAGAACAGAGTCTACTTACTCAATCAATAATTACATTTCACATATCTACTTTTTAAAAGACAGTAAACATTGGATTTACTATTCAAGATGCTACTTGGAATGTGATCCAAATGTGGGATTAGTTTCCAGAGTAGAATCACATTATAGCAAACATAGGTTTCTCAATAAGCCATAGAAATGTATCCTGTACTTTCGTAATTTTTTCCTGTGAACTTTCCCATAATGAAAGCATCAAGGAGAACTTACAGCTGTACAAAAGATGCACTGGCATTCTTGGAGTGTGGTCATCTTGTCCAGAGACTGTTCACATAGGCAGAGCTTGCAAGTGATGAGGGGGACCAGAGACAAGTCTCCAGGCGTAGAATTTTCAGCTGTCATGGTGAGATAGTGGAGCCCACCAACTGAGTCCATTGGCTGGCTTTCAGCCTTCTTCAATCTTCTCAACCCCTACAAAAAGACCCAAAGTAAAAAATATTATATCCATTAATACTACAGCTATTGTTTAGCAAACACATTTGGGAACCAGCTGAGCAAATCCTTACCCCCAGTAATTTCTAAAAGTACAGCTAATGTATTTCTGAGAACCATGGGCTGGACAGCCTGCTATCTTGGCAAGGTGTTGCTAGAGCCCTGAAATTTAAGCTGATCTCACCTCACTGTCCTAATTCATGTCACGTAAACTGTCGGAACTTAAAAATCACTCTAGGGGGAGGGGAAAGAAGAGTACAAAGTTTCAGTTGGATGGGATGATTGAGTTTTGGAGATCCACTGTACAACTTGGTGACTACAGTTAATAATGCATTATATACTTGAAAATTGGTAAGAGTAGATTTTAAATTTCTCCCCACAAAAAAATAAATACATAAATTGCTGGTGTTAATCAGCTTGATTTATTCACTTCACATGTGTATATAGTGTATCAAGATATCACATTGTACATCATAAATGTATATCACATTTGTCAATTATACCTTAATAAGGCTGACAGGAAGAGGGAGGAATTGCTACTATGAACAAAAATGCCATTTAGGACTTGCATCACTGTGACCAACTCAACAGATTCAAAAAATACTTGAAAATATGGTGCCACTCAAAAAACAGAAGTTAAAAAATTATGGTATGGGCTGGGAAGGTAGATCAGTCTTAGAGCAATTGCCTAGCATATGTAAGGCCATGGATTGGATACCCAGTGTCACATAAGACAAAAAAAATTACCATATGACCCAGTGATTCTACTTTTCCAAATATTCCCCAAGACCTGAAATCAAGATCTTGAATAAATATTTGATACATCTATGTTCATAACAGCATTATTCACAATAGCCAAAATGTCAAAACAGCCCAAGTGCCCACCAACAGATGAATGAACAAAATGTAGCATTTACATGCAATGAAATATTATTCAGTCTTAAACAGAAACAAAATTCTGACATATGCTATAACATGAATGAACCATGAAGACATTATGCTAAGGAAATAAGCTAGACAAAAAACGGCAAATGCTATATTATCCCACTTATATGACATATCTAGAGCTGTCAAAGTCACTGTACTAGGGATTACCAGAGGCTGGTAGGAGGGGGGAATAAAGACTTATTGTTTAATGAGTATAGAATTTCTGCTTGGGAGGATGAAAAGTCCTAGAAATATGGATAGTGGTGACAGTTGTACAACATTGTGAATGTATTTAGTGCCACTAAATTGTGCACCTGAAATGATTAGAATAGCAACTTTTATGCTATGTACATTTTACCCAAATAAAAGATTTTTAATTAGGTGTGTGCCTTCACATATATTGTTTCATTCAATCTTTTGCAACCATGATTATTTTATTTTATAGACTAATTGAGGTACTGATAATTGAAGTCATTTGCCAATGTTCCCAGAGCATAACACAAATCTCTATCTTTTGGCCAAGTCAATACGCCACACATTACACCAAAGCTGCCTCTAAATGCATATTACAAGGAAAAAGGAAGAAGGGAAAGAGAGGAGAGAGAGAGAGAGAGAGACGCAACCCATGACTACAGCTATTCTTAAAGCTCCCTAAACTTGTACAGCAATAAAATTTGTCTCCATACATGGCATACCTAAAGGAAAAGATAGCTTTATACTGACAAATTAAAATCACAACCAAAGTCCTTCCATTAAGTTGTTTTTCATTCACAATCTTTATCTTTAAAAGAGGTAAGACAATAGTGAAGATACTCTTCCTACATATTCACATTTTATATCACATCAGGAAATTTCATGTTCTGATTAAATAAAAATAAAGTTGTAAGTTTTTGCTACTTTAAAAGAATGTGGCCAGTTCTAATAATTTTTGCATGGAAATAATTATAAATATCTCTCCCCTACCAGAACCAGTCCCAATTTCTGGCAAAAGAAGTTACATGCATGATAGTTGCTATATATCCCTACAATACAGTCATGTGTTGTTTTACAGCAGATATACACTGCTATACAGCAGATTTTGTTGTGCAAACATCATATGGTATAATAGACTGTACTTTCACAAATCTTGATGGTATAGGCTACACACCTAGCCTGTGGCATAGGTAGGTAGGTAGGTTAGATAAATAGATGATAGATAGATAGATAAATAGATAGATAGATAGAGATACTGCTGGGCGCCAATGGCTCACACCTGTAATCTAGCTATTCAGGAGGCAGAAGTCAGGAGAATTGCAGTTTGAAGCCAGCAGGCATAGTTCATGAGACCCTATCTTGAAAACACCCACACAAAAAAAAAAAAAAAGGCAGCTGATGAAGTGACCCAAGGTTTAGGCGCTGAGTTCAAACCTCAATACTGAAAAAAAAAAAAAAGATCCTATTGTTCATAAGGCTATGATGAATAAAACAACATGAGATTAAACCAAGGAAAAGAGAAAGTAATGCAACCAAAGAGATGCAGTAAACACAGGATGTGTAAGGAAGCTACACATCAACATGCTTACAGTAAAATTTTTTATCAGTACACCCTAAAATAGCACATAAAAGAACAGTATAGTAACTACATAAGCCACTAACACAGACACTTATCATCGCTGTCAATCGTTATGTACAATAAATAATCATAGGTGCTGTATTTTATATGAGTGGCAGCGCTGTAGGTTTGTTCACACCAGCATCAGACAAACCCATGAGTAATGTATTGAGCAGCAACATTGTCATAGCTGTGACGTCACCTGGAAACAGGAATTCTTCACCTCCATTAAACGGTCCCTCATTGTCAAAACATCTGGATGAAATGTATGGCCCATGTAGGTACAAAGCAAAGTACTAAAACAAGGTGGGCAGGAGAACAAACTGGATTGTATGGAAAGAAAAAAATGATGTCAGCTTGCTGGCATCAACCATAAAAGATCAACAGTTACTAACTCTAGTAACCTGCTGTGTTTAAGATTTTCCACCTACACCCTAAGTAGTCATAGAAGACTTGGCTCAAAATAAATTAAATAGGAAGCTAACCACTGATGAGCTTCCAATATGAAAGACATGGTATTTCTTAGCAATAAGGTTCAAGACAGTATTCTTATTTTATTAACTATTGAGGACTGATCATCCAAAAGTTAATTAAAGCCAACATTGTGTTCAGTGTGCATATAAGGTTCAGGATTTTGAGATTTAAGACTTCTCTTTAGCATCAATGTAGTGGTAGAAACGAATAGTGTTACCATTTCCCTCTTCCAAGGTTAGTTATAGACAATGCTCACGGGTGTGTCTCCACCAGACTCCTCAGGTCATAACTCAAAGTCCCATCATCTCCCCCAACTACTGTCTTATGTATTTTCTCAACACTGCTTATACAAAACATTCTGAATTATCTTTCCCTCCAAGAAGAGAAGTCCTAAATGAAACAGCAACAAAAAATGAGACCAATAAATGCTTCCTGAGCAGGCAAAATGGGAAAGGACACAGTCTAGAAACCTTTACACTCTACATGTCAATTACACTTAGGAGCCAATTGGAAGGGCATCCAGCTAGCTCAGATGGTACAGCATGAGACTCTTAAGAGCCAGTTGGAGCCAGCCAGGGTAGCACATGCCTGTGATCCCAGCACTCAGGAGGTGGAGACAATGGCAGGAGGATCATAAGTTCAAGGCCAGCATGGGCTACAACAAATGAGTTCCAGGCCAGCCTTTGTTACACAGTAAAACCCTGACTCAAAAAAAGTAACACCACAAAAGGAAGATGGAAGAACTTATTGTGAAGAGCCAATACGGTTCTTCCAATCTGACTATTCAAGACAGTCAAGCGTTTCTTGTGGTCTTACCTTGTATTGTTTTTTTAGGAGACATTAAACAGACCAAATTTTTAATGGACTCCTGAAAACACAAAGACATAATTGGGCATCTCTTAGAAAGTATCTCTTAGAAGTAGTCTTGTTTTGAAGGCAGAGCTAACAATTGAGTTAATCAGAACCAACAGGAATGCAATCATGCCTCTTGTCAGATGCTTAAGTTTTTACTCCTTAGTTTGTGAGTTATAAGACTTTTGGCTATGAAATCAAAGTTATAAAAATGCAAAAAAAAGAATTCTAAGCATTCCAATAGGTTGCACTTATGACCCAGTGAGAGGAAAAGTCATGCATTTCGTTCATTCCTTTGAGATGTGAACAATCCAAAATGATTCTTCAAAAGAAGTGATTTATTTTCCTGTGTACAATAATACCAATACCATAAAGTAATGGCATTTAAACGTTTTTAAGCAATGGAATTTTATAAAAACAAAAACCTTTACCACTGTATAAGAGATATTTCAGTAGACTAGGACTGGTTCAAGGTAGAAACTGTGGACCAGTCCCCTTCAATCACTCAAAGCCTCCCAGGCACCATCACAGAAATCTAAAGCCACACCATGCATAGATTAAAAACGAGCCCTTTGGGTTCTCATTTTCAATGATGAATGTTTAAGAAAATGAATGACACATAATAGGCACTACATTTTTTTAAAAAGCCAGGTGCAGTGGCACACACCTAAAATCCCAGCTACTTCAGAAGGTAAGAAAGGAGGAGGATCATGGTTTGAGGCCAGAGCAAAAATTTTGTAAGATCCCAGCTCAATCCATAAGCCAAGAATGGTGGTGTGTACCTGTAATCCCAGCTACACAGGAGGCATAGATAGGAGGATCATGGTCTAGACCCACCAGGGCAAAAATGGGAGAGCCTATAAAAAGACTAAAGCAAAAGAGCTGGGGAGTGGCTTAAGTGGTAGAGAACTTACCTACCAAGCATGAGACTTGAGTTCAAATCCCACCCAAAAAACCAGATTATCAAACAAGAAATTCTTTCACCACTGATTCATTTAAAATTGAATTTTTCAAGCAATAAACAGGAAAGTCCTCTAATGAATTTCCCCACACTTGTGAGGCTGGAAGTGGTTTCAGAGT